GAAACTATTAATACAGAGGAACTTCAGCAACTGAAATAATTCTCAGTCCTGCAACATTCTGCCCCCATGGAGGTTCATGGAAACTGAAGGAAACTCAGCCTACTCCAGAAGTGAGCCTTTTGAATACAGTATAACTGTGCTTCCATTCTAAATATCTTAGAATGTTTGTTCTTGGTAATTCAACAGTGGAATTAACTGTATATACTATTAATACAGAGGAACTTCAGCAACTGAAATAATTCTCAGTCCTGCAACATTCTGCCCCCATGGAGGTTCATGGAAACTGAAGGAAACTCAGCCTACTCCAGAAGTGAGCCTTTTGAATACAGTATAACTGTGCTTCCATTCTAAATATCTTAGAATGTTTGTTCTTGGTAATTCAACAGTGGAATTAACTGTATATACACTATGGGTGCAGCTATACAGCACCCTAATCTCTAAGATATGCAATTTGTGCTATGCAAATTGCGTATCTTATTTTGATTGTATTTCAAAATAAGTTATTTAGAAATTTGGCGTGTCTCCACAGTGCCAAATTTTGAAATACACTATTTTGAGATACATCTTAACCCTTGTGGAATGAGGGTCATAGGGATGCCAGAATAGTGTGCCTCTTCTTTAGAAAAATATTTCAGAATAACAGGTGCTCTTTGAAGACGAGGGGTAGCTATTTAGCCCCACTGTCTAGAGTACCCTTAGAGAATGACAATTTTATTTTTATATTTATATAGATATATTTCAGCTGAGTCAATGAGAAAAATTGAGTTTAAGACAAAGTTAAAGAAAAAAAAATTCAGACTCCTAAACACAACTGTCTCATTTTCCCAATTACTGCGCTATTGCTGCTTTGTTACTATCGTGTAAAGCAGGCCAGGCATTTAGAGAATATGAGGCTGGATATCAGTGGATTTGATTCAGTCACTTTTACTTACGCCATGGGTAGGGAACCTTTTTTGAGTCAGAGGCTACTGACCCATAGAAAAATCAGTTGGGGTCACATACAAGTGAGAAATAAAATCTCAAATCCTCACTAAAGCGGCCACCCAGCTGAGAAGGAGAAAGATCTTCCCCTCACACACCAGATCCTAATGGGGCCCAGGCTAGTAGTTTGTGTGCTCCATCCCAGGCTCCCCAATGCTAGGGTGGGACCAGATCCAGGCAAGCTGGCCCCTGGGCCTTTGGTTCCCCACCCTGACATACACCAAGTGGTACTTTATTCAGTAAGCAATCCCACTGAAAATAATTGTTCTCCAGCCCAATACAAGCAGTAATATCCATGAGATGATTCACATTTTGCTGCTTTTGTTTATTTTAATCCTATCTTTTTGAACAATATTACTTAGGAGTGAGATATTGCTTTTAATTTTCTCATACAACAGAAAAAGAAAAATCAGCAATTGTGTGGGTAAGCATCAATAGCACAATTTTCTTCTTGGTTTACAAGGAATAACGACAAAGATGGTATAGTACAGATTGTTACCTGCTTTGCTTATCTGTTTTTTGTTGTTTAAACTGATTCAGGCAGTTTCAACAAAGGTGAGCTCCAGGCTGCCAAAAGAATTGTTAAGCTGTAGTCTCTTCCAGCAGTCATCTGAAGGGCACCCAGCTTTAGCACCCAGCTCCTGACAGTTCAGCGGTCCCAAAACATATGGTGCTTAGATGGTAGGTCTGTAAGGGCATGTCTACGCAGCAGGGCTGAAATCAGTTTAAGCTATGCAACTTCAGCTATGTCAATTATGTAGATTAAGTCAAAATAGCTTAGGCTTTTGGTGCCATCTATGCACAGCAGGAAGCCGAAGGAGGAATGCTTTTCCTTCGACTTCCCTTACTCCTTGTGAAATGAGGGTTACCATGATTTGGAGTAAGAAGTCCTCCAGCTCAACATTATTTCAAAATAAAGGCTTGTAGCATAGACCAGAAAGTAGGTCTCAGGATTCAGCTCCAGACCCCAGCAAGTCTAAGCCAACCCTAGTGACCCCATTCAAAGGGATTTATGATCCACTTTAGGTCCTGATCCACTTAGAACTGCTACTCTAATAAGAACATAGCAGTAGGAATGGTGATAGTGGCTGTGAAATGCCCAAGGGGATTAGAGGCTACAAAAATAAAAAATAATAATGGGGGTCTTCAGCTATCCACATATTGACTGGGTATGTGCTACATCAGGATGGGATGCAGAGATAAAGTTTCTTGACAGATGAAATGACTGTTTCTTGGAACAGCTAGTTCTGGAACCCACAAGAGGAAAGACAGTTCCATACTGATACTGTCACCCCTCCACGATTTATGCATATTCAGAAGCCAATTTTCATAAATCAAGGATGTTTAGACACAATACTTAACATACCAATTTTACATAAGAACATCACAATCTGCTGAATCTATATATCTTATTTTTATGCATATATCATTCTTGTTTGTGAAGTTAAAAATATGAAGTGTGAATCTGTTTATAATTCCGAATGTGCTTATGAGGGCCATTAGTGATGCACCTGAACCATAATGGCTCTGTACTCAAAACAATGACCTGTAAATAATTTTGTCCTATAAGCCCAAACAGTGGTTGGTTCCAGAAAGACCAGATCACGTGATGCTGAAACCCATTTTGTATCTTGTACTCTTCACTCAAGGTGAGAAGTCTGACCTGAGTACAAAGATTTCCTGCTTTGATCAAAAGGGATATATCTATATAAAAGGTGGGGGTCACACAATAGGGGCAGGTACCAGGGGAACTCTTATCTTACCATCTAAGTTGCTTACTGGAAACATCTAAGATTAAACAGGGAAAAGATCAGGATCAAACTAGGAGACTGCTTAGATTGTGAAAAGGGATGTTTAGAAGAACTGTTTAGGGTAAAAAATTGTATGTAACAAGTTTCTTAGTGGATTAGGACTAGCTGGCGCTTTTTGTTTATTTTAGCGTAGTGACTTATCTTGAGCTGATTGATTTCATTGAAACCACTTAAATCCTACTTTTTATACTTAATAAAACACTTCTGTTTGTGTAAAACTTTTACACAGTTTAAGATGGATTTGGGGGGATTGGTTTCCTGGATGCTGAGCCCTCACAGCAGAGCTTTCCTGGAGCTGAATTGATTCAGAATCTGTGTTGCTCTGCAGGGGGATAACCCCAACTGTGTGCTTTTGCTGGGGGAGATGAGAGCTTCATATGTATATAATACATATTATCAAAATTCAAAACCAAAATGTTCCTTTGCACACTTGTCTCCGCCTCGGGGGGGATGGTGAAAAAGCAAATACATTGTTTCTGCCCTGGCTGAATCCCCTGTGTGCAGGGTTCCCAACTAAGTTCTCTCTAAGCTACATGGTTGCACAGCTTCCCATAATCCCCCATGCAGAGGCTCAGGGCTGCAGCATGTAGAGAGAGAATTCCCAAGCCCTGAAGCTGAGTGGGGGATGAGTGTTGCTCCCTGCCGGCTCCAATATGGACCTGCCACACCTGGGGGAAAGGGCCCACCTCTTGCCATCCCCAGTAGGGAGCTTCCCAGGTAATTATGAGCCCTACCCCTCTGTTCCATCTTGAGCCCCTACAGCCTGAGCACTCTCCTGCACCTTGCTGCCCATATCCCCAGCCCAGAGCTTGTACTCCCCCTCCTCCTACACACCAACCCAAAGCCCACCCCCAAACCTGGAGTCCCCTTCCTGTATTCCAAACCCTCATCCACCCTAGAGCCCACCCACCCCATCTGGAGGCCTCATGCTGCATCATAACCTTTTGCCCCCGCCCTGAGTCCCCTACCATACTCATTGGACAAACATCTCAGACACTTCGCCAAAGGATTAATGCCCACAAAACAGATATCAGACAAGATCACAAAGAGAAAACAGTTTCTTGTCACTTTAACCAGAAAGGACACTCTCTAAATGACTTAGCCACCTGCATTCTGCTACAAAGACCTTTTACATCTGCACTTGAAAGGGAATCCTCTGAACTGTCATTCATGTTAAAATTCGACACTTGCCAACAAGGACTTAACAAGAATTTGAACTATCTCACCCATTACCAAGACAGTTTCCCCAATTATCACCTGTAATACCATTAACTCACAAACATCCCACTCTCCCTACCTTTAATATCATCAATTCACAGACACTTACCTTCCTTCCTCCCCCTCCCCCCCCCCCCATCCCCCTCCTGTTCTGCAATGTGATTTGTCCTTTTCATATTTGTTCATTTTTTTAATTGTATCCTTTGGTATATATGGTTGTGACTACTTTCTTCCACTATTTGATCTGAGGAAGTGGGTCTGGCCCACGACAGCTCATCATCTAATAAACCATCTTGTTAGTCTTTAAAGTGCTACATTGTCCTGCATTTTGCTTCAACTACCATACTCGGAATGCCTTGGCCCCATTACCTCCAAATTAATTTTATGTGCACCAATACTGTCAAACATCACCTCCACATAGGTGCACATAAGAAAATTCATTCCACTTGTCGGAAAAATAAGAACTAAGGGAATAGTCTGCTAGAGTTCAGGTACTACTCTGGTCATGAGTATTGCATACACAGCTATATTGAATACGATGCAGACTGCTTCCATTAAGGCACAAAACTTTGTAAATTATTTTATTTACTTAACGCTTAATGTTTTGATGCACCTGTAATAATACATTGTAATTAGTCATTGTTTGTACCATGCTTTGAAGATGCACATCACTAAGTGCCAACTATTAATAAATTTACCCAGGAACACAAGCCAAGGTCATGATTTTTGTTTGTGGACAAGTGTCAATGAGGCTACAAGAACAGCACTGGGAACTGGGTGTCCAATCCAGTTCCCAATGAAGTCACAGGAAGTTTGGACTTAATTAAATTTGTGCACTTTCTTCAGCAGCTGAAGCACAGCATTGGTTTACTTTACATTCTGATAAACTGTTTCATTTGGTAAATAAATTTGGGGGTTTTGTGGAGGGAGGGTTAAAATATTTAGAATTTGGAGAACTTACAAAACCTCAATTA